ACACCAAAATTACTTTAATCAAATGGACCTGTCAGACCAGGTCAGTGGAATACTTGTGCTTTTGCACTATGTTTTTATTTATAATAGCACTAGAATTTACCTGAAATCAACAAGAAATGTAAATGTTCTATGCCTCAGGCTGTATCTCCATTACAAGAAAAAAGGAAAACAGTATTTTAGCTAAATTCTTTGGAGCAACAGTTTTCTAAGTTATAGAGATGCCATGCTTACTTGATTTTTATATCTAAGTGTTAAACAGATAATTAAGACAGAAGTGCTAAATGTGTATTTTCTAGTGTAAGTCACTAGAACTATGACTTCTGGATATATACACAAGTTTAAGAACTATGATGAAAAAGACATATATGTACATGTATATACACATGACAAGCATGCATATCATTCAAAATTATACATAAAGTCAGCATGGTTATTGCCTTTAACTATTTCTAGGATAATTGTCAAAGAAGTCATTGGCTTCAACAGAAATCAAACTATTTGGGACCCAGATTTGTAAGTTCGTAGGAGATGGATTTCTGGGAGTCAGATGTGGCCCACCATGGCAAGGAGGCTCAAGATAGGAAGAAATTGATTAGTTTCCCATTTAAGGACTTTTATCTTTTATGGGGAACCCAATTGTTCTCATTATAGGGGTACAAAGGAGTATTTTGGAAAGGATTAAACTGGCTTCCCAGGTGGCACAGTGGTAAAGAACCCACCTGCTGATGCAGGAAATGTGGGTTCAATCCCTGGGTCAACAAGATCCCCTGGAGTAGGAAATGGCAACCCACTCCTGTATTCTTGCCTGGAAAATTCCATGGACAGAAGAGCCTAGTGGGCTACAGTCCATGGGGTCACAAAGAGTCAGACGTAACCGAGCACGCATGCATGGATCCACTTCCTTTTTCTTTCTTTTCATATCCTTTCTCTTTCCTTCTTTTTCCACTTTCCCCCTACGATTTCTCTGCACTTTTATCCCTCCCTCTCTCTTCTCTACCCCTCCCCTCCCTCACCCTCGCCTCTCATTATTAATGGCAGTCACATATGTTATGTGTTCCAGGTCAGAAACCAAGGGTTTTACTGACTCAAGTATTTTTCTTAAAAAAAAAAAAAAAAGTTTCTTATTCTCATCCTATAGTATGATTTCTCTCAAATATATACAAGATCAGGAGTATGATCTTAAGTTCTATATGATTCTATCCAAAGATATGACTTCTGTCTTGGATCAGATTTTTAACTCTTGTTCTTCTGTAGCTATAACACCATTCTATTCATTCCCATATGCTACCTCACTCTGTGTTATCGAGCATAAGTTCTATACAGAAAGAAAAGCCTGTGGTGTTGGTGAAATAGAAACATCTCTTTGCTTCTTAACGTGGTAACATTCCCACCATTTGTCGTGCACTGTTCCCAGGCACCGTGTGAGGGCGTTTTATACACGATCTCTCTTAATTCTCAGGAAGTCCCTCACTGTATAGAGGCTCAGAGGATCAAGGGACAACTTAAGCTGTACAACTTGTGAGTGGTAGATTCAGGATTAATATTCAAGTTCTTCTGTAAGTCACTCAACTACTACGCTTATAATATGTAAACCATGATGCCACACAGAACAAAAAGCATTTAGTATCTCTCTTTGAGTCTGTGGGCTAAAAAAAATACTCCTCAAAGTGACTCAAGTTTCAGATGGCAACCAATTCTTGTAGTATGAAAAGAGGTACACTGTGTTATCTAATCCAAGAGAACAGAGTTCAGAAAAGCCTGTTACTTATTAGAGATGACGGAGAAAAGATGCACACCAATAAGAAAGAGCATATTCTGTGGTAATATAATTTGTAATCCTCCATTCTCCGTGCCCACTCGCCAGATGAGAAATTGTTCTGTAAAAGTAACGATGATGACAATAGTAATTATTTTTTTATCATAATTACTTTTTTAGAAAAGGATTCTGGACTTAAAATCATTATTCATTCTTCCTTAAAAGAATAATTCTGGATTTTAGAATATTCTTTACATAAAGAAACTTTAACATCCTTCTTTTAGATAACAGGATCTAAATGTAAATTTGGAGGCCATATATAATTTTTTAATTAAGAGAATTACTTGGTGTTTTTAATAACATTCCCTTTAAATATATGAGGGCCTGGAATAAGGGCAGTCAACAACAGCATCATCTAGAGTTTTCAGGACTCCAGACTGCAAGACATAGAACACAAAGGGAAGATCTGAGCTTCTGTTTTCTTTTGATCTGTCAGTGACCTGACTATAATAGATCCACAGCTCCGTGATTTACTGAGTCTCAACTGCCAATCACATTTAAATAACAAACAAGAAGAACAAGCACAGTGAGTGCAGAGAGCAGCTGAAGAAATAACTTCATTAGCTCTGAGACAAGTCTGATCAAGGATTCACTTTCCTTCTGATTCACCTCTGAAGTGAGTCTCAAAACTATTTATTTCAGCAGTCACGGGGGCAGGTAGAAATTTTAGCGCGGAGAGTACAGTGTTGGTAGTTATGAATAATTATAGAGTTGCATGGCTTCGAAATAGTCTTGTGACATTGGGAATGACAACATCATTAATGAACTGTCAGATGAGCCTGCTATTCATCAAGGGCCTCCTGGTGGACGAGATCCATTTTCCTAGTGAATCAGGACTAGCACACTAAAATGTACACTGAAACTCTGGTAGAAACATCTTGCAGAACTCAAAGAAAAAGACACAATTAAGAAACTCAATGGGACAAAGGTTTAAAAATCTATAAAATAGGGAGATTTCTTTCTTATCCATTAGAAAATATGATACATAAAAGAAGGATTAAAAATAGATTGACTAATGATTATAGTTTTAAGATAGCAGACAGAAATAAACATGAAGATCATATAGTTATATTCAGTTTTTTAATAGCATACCAATAGTAGTAGCTTTATCAACTCATTAAAATTTTATTATAAATTGTCATCTAAAACATACATTTTTAAGAATATGAATTAAAACAGAAACTTCAATCACCCTCTAAGTAGACTGTGTTAAGTAAATTCTAAGATAGAGTTTTGTTTGATTTATAGACCTTGGAATAGTAGATGTATACATGCATTTGTTGTATTTCTTTCTCTGCTATATACAAAGAAGAAGGTAAGAAAAGTATAAAAAAATACTTCAATGCTTATATTTATATTAATAAAATATTTGCAGCTATAGAAAGTATTATTTTAAATCTATAATTTTTTTAAATAAAAAATAAATGGTCTCCTTTTATTTGAGAAGCAAAAGGTATTGCTCAGCTGCACAGGGAAGGAAGTGATTCATTTGTATATTTTTAAGTGCAAGTAAAAATACCTCTGCTGGGTTCTATAAATTAGTTGCCATTGGAGTTAAGGACAAAATGTGTAATTTATTAAGCATGTTTTGTGGCTAACTGAAATTAAATAGGACATACATGAATATCTATATATTGAGAGTTCCTTGGACTGCAAGATCAAACCATTCAATTCTAAAGGAAATCAGTCCTGAATATTCTTTGGAAGGACTGATGTTGAAGCTGAAACTCCAATACTTTGGCCACCTGATGTGAAGAACTGACTTACTTGAAAAGACCCTGATTCTGGGAAAGATTGAAGGCAGGGGAAGAACGTGATGACAGAGGACAAGATGGTTGGATGGCATCACCAACTCGAAGACATAAGTTTGAACAAGGGTAGTTGGTGATGGACAGGGAGGCCTGGCATGCTGCAGTCCATGGGATCGCAAAGAGTTGGACATGACTGAGCAACTGAACTGAACTAAATGATTCCTAAAACTCCTTTAAACCTAGCACGACCTAGGTTGTGTTTTCTTAGCATTAACTCCACACATACACTCATGTTTTATTTTTAATGTCTTTATGATATTTCTGGTATCAGGAGCTTTTAATTTTGGTATAATCATATTTACAATTTTTTTTATTTTACAACTATTGTTTTAATTAAGGAAGTTTTCCTATTTAATATCTTGATCCTTTGTCCTAAATGTTCTCCCAATTTTTTCTCATGGAAGGGCGCATGTCTACTTTTCTTGGGTCAAAGTAAGCTAGACCTTTTTTCAAATTTCTCTCTTACTCCCATCCTTTTTTTTCCCACCTTCATCACACTTTCATATCTTAGTCTTCTCACCATTCAAACATGTCTCTAATCTATTTCTCTCACCAAGTATTCTTTCATTCTTCCAGTTAGAATCCTTCCTCTGACTTATTTTGTATTGTATTTAAAATGGTTGAGACAGTATTATGTTTGTTTCTATGTGTGACTTCTCTGAGTAATTCCTGAGAACAGATCTATAAATCTTGATATCCCCGAAGAGTCTCATTTAATGCTTCAAAAAATAGGTTTTCTATTAATGTTTGTAAAGAGATAGTGTGTGTTTAGTTTAGACAACTGAATACTCAGCTAGGACACAGTAATTATTTTCAAATACTCAAGAACTTTTCCTATGTTAAAGGAGTTAAACAGGCCATACATGGTTATGGATGGTTTCTAAGGAAAATTGGATTTTTCTCAATATATAGAAGAAATTTTCAACAAATAGAATTCTCTGAAAATAGAATGAACTCACAAAGGAGTCACTTGATTGTCTCCCAAACATATTCACACAGGAATGATACATTAGTATTCTTTCTACACATGATAGGCCTCCTGAAAGAATAAATAAAATGGTATCCCTATTCGTATGCTTCATGAGTTTTCATTTTAGTCACTGACCTTTGACATTGGTCATCCTTACCCCATCATTCCACTCTCTAGCTACACCTATCTACAGGAGCCATTTTACTTGTTTTTAAATATGATTTGCTTTCTATGTACAAAAAACTTCGGATAAATTTTTTATCACTCAATTTTTATTTTCAATTTTTAGAAAACTTTATTTTCAATTTTTAGAAAACTTTAGAAGTTAAATCGCTTCTTAGAGTTCAAGATTAGATGTATTCCAAAGTCAAATCTCATCAACAAAATTAAATAAATATGCATATTTGCAGGTAAATATACAAATGTTTAATATTTTATGTAGTTTTATTAAAATTGATTTATTTTACAATATCTCCACAAACTTCCCTATGTAACTATCAATAACAGACACTCTAAGAGAAATACCACTTAATATATTTAAAATAAAACAATACAAAACAATCAAAAGTCCTGGGAACTTATAGTCCATCTTCTTTATATTTTTAATTAGGCTAGAAACTAAATAGCAGGAAACTAGTGCTTCAAAAATACCATGTGTATTGCCCAGAACACTGATAAAACCTTAGTGAATATGAAATAAAGCAAAATGAAAATCATTATTTTCTAATAGAAATTTGTTGCCTAACTATGTACCAGAACTGTTCTGGCAATCAGAAAGCAAAAAATCAACAGGAGAGAATTTTAGAATCATGAACATAGATTATTACTACTCATGAAGCATCTATAGAATATTTTGTTATTTTTCCAATAAGCAATGTTTGTGTTTCTGCTACCTCTGAGTTTCTCTTCTAGCGCTGAGAACAAAAACTGACTGCGTCGATCCTTTGTGTTCCAGCTTCTTTGGAAGCGAAGATTTGCTGAAGATCTTCTGATTTTGAAGTCTAGTTGGACATTGCTGCTTGCACATTCTTATATTCAGGCAGTAGGAGGAAGGATGAAATAGCTCAACTCTGAATGTTTACAATGGTGCTGTATAGTCGCTAAATCTTGTCCGATTCTTTCGATGATTCTGTAGCCCACCAGACTCCTCTGTCCATGGGATTTTCCAGGCAGGAATACTGTAATGGGTTGCCATTTCCTTCTCCATGGAATTTTCCCAACTCAGGGATCAAACTCACATCTCCTGCATTGGCAGACAGGATCTTTACCACCAAGCCACTTGAGAAGCCCCAAGATGATGTTGCCTTATAGCTTATTAGAAAGATGCTAGGTAGGCAAGCAGCAAAACTACTGATAAAAAAGCAAAACGATCTTGAAAGAAAGTGCTGGAACCACCAGTCAAACCAAGGAGACTCCACTTCAGCAGGAAAGGTCACAGACAGTCTCACTGGCAGACAAGCAACGGTGACAGCCCAAATTAGAAAGCCATACTGCCCTGCATTTCATATGGAATCTTTTCAGAGTGTCCGGCATATTCAATCTCAGAAACAGTAACACTACCTTCAGGGTCAGCTTTCAACACAAAGGACATTAAGAAAGCAACAGAAAAAAAGCTATCAGGGGGTACTGGTTGTGGTGAAAAAGTCCTGGAGTTATATCTGAGGTTAAAGGAATATGATTCTTGGGATGCATGAAGTAATCAGCGGAATATTAAAGAGGGTGGCACCTCCACCTTGGGACAATTTCTAGCAGCTATAATTGCAATAAGTTGATCGGTAGCAATTCAGAGGTCTATAACCACCATATAGATACCTCAGAGGAGGGAATGAACTCGGTATAGAGCTCAGAGACCGGAAGTTTCTTGGAAAATAGCTCAGTGGGGGGCATCCCCTGTGCCAATTGTATGGACGTTGGCAATTTCTTATTAAATAATTTTGGCGTTGGCAGCTGTTGGTGATATACCTTGATGGTGAGAAGCCACTGGGTATGAAGCCAAGATTTTGGGAGCCTCTGTACCCAAAACTGCCCAGTCTATAGTGGCTTAGGGGCTGGAAGCTCTCGGATAAGCAGGTAAGTTGCCCAAAGCGTTTGAAGCCACTGCCAAGGGTCTGGCAAGCTTTGGATGCACATGGGCTGGGGGTGCAGCCATCAGATACATACCCCTTGGTTTGAGGGCACGGATTGCAGCTGGGGCTGTCTCCGACGTTGGTCGTTTCACGGGCACTGCAGGTTTGGCCCCCTGTTGGAGAGTTGCAGGGCACAGAGGAGTTTGGTCGGTCACAACTTGTGGTGCAGGTCTTGGGCTCAGAACTGGGAGAGTCACAGCTTGGTACTTCCCCACAAGTTTCCTGGCAGTTATCCAGCAGCCAGAGATTCCCGTGGTAGCTACTGGGTAGGCTGAGCCCAAACGTAGGGCTTACATCGCTGGAGCAAAGAGCAACAGAAGCAGTCACTGGGAAATAACAGTGAGTTCTGTAGGATATACAACTACAGTTCCCAGGATAGCCTAGAAAAGCCATGGCGCCTGAATGGATGTTCAGTGACGGCCGTGAAGATGTGGCGAGCCTGTGGCTTGACGCCCTTTTATATCTTCCCTGCGGATTGTCTGCATCCTCCCCAGACTCTTCCTTCTCGCTGCCTGGGACAATAACATGGCAACATTTCATTAGTGTGATGTTTAGTGACAGCTGCCGATGTCTTCACACTCATATTAAAGCAAGTTTATTTTGATTCTTCAAAGTTATCTATAATCACCACGCTGACCATCACCCATCACTCATCATGTGCAGACCATAACTTTTGTGAATAGTGATTTCAGTGTTAACAAGTAAGATCTCAACTGTCAACCAGTGGTAAACAAGAGATCATGTGTCTATGGGCTTTTGCAACATGGTTGTTAAGGGGTTAATGAGGATCCAAGTGAAGCAAAGAACCTGGACGTTTCCACTCTTTTGGCTACTGCAAAATATTGCCAGGACTTGATCCCATACTCTAAAAGAAGCTGAATGCTTTGATTGTCTCCACATTGTTCCTCAAAAGAGAGCATAAGGCATTGAACTATTAAGTAAGGACTTTCTCCCCCTAAATAAGTGTTATATTCTTCACTATGCTAGGCCATGTACTGGTGGCAACATTTCATCCATCGGAAAATTCCCTCTGTAAGATTCACAGCAATCTCAGTGAGACTTAGTGACCTAACATAAGGCCAAAAATGAACTTGTTCCCAGGGGTCAGCGGTTGCTAAGTAACCAAGACTTCTGGAAGAACTCTTTCTTAAAGAGTTTCTATAATATGTAATACCAAAGAATGCCAGTTTCTCAAAATTGTACCTGCCTAATTGACTAAAATTATATATATCCCATTGTCTCTGTTGTAAAACCCTCTTGCTGTCAGATGTATAATATTTCTTGACATTTCTGCTCAAGTAAGTTTTACTTATTCTTGATTTTCTTTTCTTTTCACATAGAGTTTATTCCTCTGTTGAAGAATATAGTTATTTTTGGTCCATAACCGCAAAAAGAAATGGCTATGCTTGATTTTTTTTTTTGAAGGGCCTGTACAGTTCTTATAGGCACTTTACATATTAAGTAACACTTTTCACTCCTTATGGTGAAGGTTGAAGAAAAATTTTTGTAGTAGTTTAATTTAAAGTAAAGAACTGGCACTTTGTGCTTAAAAATACAAGCTATAATTCACACTTATGGCCTCCACTGAATTGGAAACGGCAATGCATTTATTAACTGTAATAAGTTCAGACAAAAGACAAGACCAGCTTCTTCAGGTATGATAAGCTATAGGGTTAGTTTTTAAAAGACACTGTCCTCACAGTGGTTTAAAATCAGCTATATTTTTCAAATGCACATCAACTTAAAGTTACAGATATTCTTCACATTTTAAAAAAAATCTGAGTATTCTCATAGTTCTTCTCAGCATTTATTTAATGAAGTGATGGATTTTATTCTGTGGGGTAACTCTTTATTAAACATATTTTACTGTTTGTATTGTCTTTGGGTGAAAGTGTCAGGATCAGGAAGCCATGTTTACAGCAAATTGTTCATCTATAGAATGTCCTGGAGTTTTGCACAGAAATTTTCAGTCCTGAGATAGGCAAATAGGAACTAAAATCCACAAGGAGCTTGATGGCCTCCATGTAAATGTTGGAGAGGGTGTGGAGAAAAACGAACCCTCTGCACTGTTGGGAATGTAAATTAGTGCAGTCACTGTGGAGAACAGCCTGGAGTTTCCTTATAAACTAAAAATAGGAATACCACATGATCTAGCAATCTCATGCCTACATATATCTGAAGAACTATTTCAAAAAGATACATTCCCCTCAATGTTCATAGCAACAATATTGACAATAACTAAGACATGGAAGCAACCTAAATGTCCATTAAGGGATGAAAGGATAAAGAAGATGTGGTGTATATATATATATACAATGGAATATTGCCCAGCCATAAAAAAGAATGAAACAATGCCATTTGCAGCAACATGGATGAATCTAGAGATTTTCAGAGAAAGACAAAGATCATACGACATGGCCTATATGCGAATCTAAAAATGATACAAATGAACTTATTTACAAAACAGAAACAGACTCTGACATAGAAAACAAATTTATGGTTACCAAAGGGAAAGGCGGGAGAGGGATAAATTAGGAGTTTGGGATTAACATATACACACTACTATATACCGGTTTCCCTGGTGGCTCAGATAGTAAAGAATCTGCCTGCAATACAGGAGACCTGAGTTCAATCCCTGGGTCGGGAAGATCCCCAGGAGAAGGGAATGGCTACCCACATCAGTTCTCTTGTTTGGAGAATTCCATGGATGGAGGAGTCTGGCAGGCTGTAGTCCATGGGATCCCAAAGAGTCAGACATGACTGGGTGATTAACAACAATAATCAACAAGGACATACTGTATAGTACAGGGAACTATACACAGCATCTTGTACCAACCATCTTTTCCATACACAATGGGAAAGAATCTGAAAAGGAAAATGTGAAAAAATAAAGGCTTGATAAAAAGTACACAAGGCAGTCATTGGTGATCTTTCCACTAAACTACTTGTTCCAAGTAATATACAGGAGAGTTCAGAGGTTGGTGGAGGTTGATTTCTGCCTCTCTTCATCATACCACGATTATCTTTAGTCTTTTTTTAGGCTTTCTTGAAGCAAATTTGAGGGAAAACAAACAAACAAAACCTAGAATAACTCTGTCAGCTGTAAAGCCCACATACATACTCCCTTTCCAACTTTCCATATATAGGGTTAGTTTTTAAAAGACACTGTCCTCACAGTGGTTTAAAATCAGCTATATTTTTCAAATGCACATCAACTTAAAGTTACAGATATTCTTCACATTTTAAAAAAAATCTGAGTATTCTCATAGTTCTTCTCAGCATTTATTTAATGAAGTGATGGATTTTATTCTGTGGGGTAACTCTTTATTAAACATATTTTACTGTTTGTATTGTCTTTGGGTGAAAGTGTCAGGATCAGGAAGCCATGTTTACAGCAAATTGTTCATCTATAGAATGTCCTGGAGTTTTGCACAGAAATTTTCAGTCCTGAGATAGGCAAATAGGAACTAAAATCCACAAGGAGCTTGATGGCCTCCATGTAAATGTTGGAGAGGGTGTGGAGAAAAACGAACCCTCTGCACTGTTGGGAATGTAAATTAGTGCAGTCACTGTGGAGAACAGCCTGGAGTTTCCTTATAAAACTAAAAATAGGAATACCACATGATCTAGCAATCTCATGCCTACATATATCTGAAGAACTATTTCAAAAAGATACATTCCCCTCAATGTTCATAGCAACAATATTGACAATAACTAAGACATGGAAGCAACCTAAATGTCCATTAAGGGATGAAAGGATAAAGAAGATGTGGTGTATATATATATATACAATGGAATATTGCCCAGCCATAAAAAAGAATGAAACAATGCCATTTGCAGCAACATGGATGAATCTAGAGATTTTCAGAGAAAGACAAAGATCATACGACATGGCCTATATGCGAATCTAAAAATGATACAAATGAACTTATTTACAAAACAGAAACAGACTCTGACATAGAAAACAAATTTATGGTTACCAAAGGGAAAGGCGGGAGAGGGATAAATTAGGAGTTTGGGATTAACATATACACACTACTATATACCGGTTTCCCTGGTGGCTCAGATAGTAAAGAATCTGCCTGCAATACAGGAGACCTGAGTTCAATCCCTGGGTCGGGAAGATCCCCAGGAGAAGGGAATGGCTACCCACATCAGTTCTCTTGTTTGGAGAATCCCATGGATGGAGGAGTCTGGCAGGCTGTAGTCCATGGGATCCCAAAGAGTCAGACATGACTGGGTGATTAACAACAATAATCAACAAGGACATACTGTATAGTACAGGGAACTATACACAGCATCTTGTACCAACCATCTTTTCCATACACAATGGAAAAGAATATGAAAAGGAAAATGTGAAAAAATAAAGGCTTGATAAAAAGTACACAAGGCAGTCATTGGTGATCTTTCCACTAAACTACTTGTTCCAAGTAATATACAGGAGAGTTCAGAGGTTGGTGGAGGTTGATTTCTGCCTCTCTTCATCATACCACGATTATCTTTAGTCTTTTTTTAGGCTTTCTTGAAGCAAATTTGAGGGAAAACAAACAAACAAAACCTAGAATAATTCTGTCAGCTGTAAAGCCCACATACATACTCCTTTTCCAACTTTCCATTAAATGGCAGAGTATTTTAAATTAATGTCACAGACTCTAGTGTGAGTCCAACAATTAAATAATGTAGAACATCACTTAGCATAATTAATGTTCACAACATGAGGATTTATAACATATTTAAATTTATTTTGGTACAATCATATTCTAAACAGTCAAATATTGAGGTTTGCAAAGGTGGTTAGCCCAACTTCTCTCACTGGCTTTTATGTTTTACCTTCTTATCCACTCATCACACTCATAGGCGACCATCACTCACTTTTCACTCACCGCATTCTGTAAACACTGCCTCTACAGAACTGTCTTCTGCTCTCGACTCCATTTTAGCAAGAAACCAAGCAGTCAGGCAGTGGTTGTTTTCAACAGCAAGTAAGGACTGTTGTTGTTTGGGGGACATTATCCCCTGAGGGCTTCCTTTGTAGCTCAGCTGGTAAAGAATCTGCCTGCAGTGCAGGATACCTAGGTTCGATCCCTGGGTTGGGAAGATCCCCTGCAGAAGGGAACAGTTACTCCTCTGAAGGTTTTGGAGAACATACGCATTTCTCCAGTTTCACTTAATTACCAAATAATCTTTCCTTCCATTAATTGTCCTATTTGTAACATTTTATGCATATGGAAAACTGAATAGATCTCCCCAACCCCCACCTCCCTATCCTGGGCCAATGCAGGAGAACCCCTGGAGTGGGAAATGGCAACCCACTCCAGTATTCTTTCCTGGAAAATCCCATGGACAGAGGAGCCTAGCAGGCTACAGTCCATGGGGTCACAAAGAGTCAGACACAACTGAGCACATAGACACACAC